GATGAAGGACAGTGGCTCGCAAGAGGAGCTGGGAGAGGTGGTGTTGCTGGGGAGTTGGCAAACTGGGACTGGGGTCATAGGAAGAGTGACAAAGCTGACAAGGGGCCACCTTATGACAGCTGAAAGCAGCTGTGCAAGAAGACAGAAGGAACTGTGTGTGAAAGCAGGTGGGGTTTAGACTGGGGACGCTCAAGAGACTGAAACCACAAACACCGAGGAAGCGGTCGCTGTGCACATCCACACTGGAGATGGGACGGCGCATCCACATTCCCAGAAGGACAGGACTGGGGGCTCCCTTGTGGCATCTCAGCTTCTTCTGGCGCTGAAACTTGGGCATACACCAGCCAGTCTCTGCTCTGTTTCTCCAGAAAGGAAACCTGGGCACACAGGCTGAATGGGAGCTGGGCTGCCCTGCAAACGGGTGTACAAGCTGAGCCACGGGGGACCTTAGGGCATGGCCTGATGGGATCCAGCCGCTGCACGAACACTTGGGGGTGAGGTGCCAAGGCATGACCTTGGGTCAGAACAGGCCTGGTAAGGCCAGGGGGGAAAAAGAGGTAAACCTCAGGGGACCCGGCAGAAAGTAAAGATGCCATCTCTCACCCGCAGAGGCCTCAAGAGATTGCCAAATCTCAGCATTGTGAATAAAACCTGAGTGACAGCTCACCCCTCTTCTGGAGCAAAGGCTTTGTGGTGGGTAAAGAGGTTCAAAACACAGGATTTTAAACACTGTCACACAACGTAATTTGTGTTTCTATTTTTTTTTTTTTTTAAATCATTGCACTGTCTCATTCATCACACAGGGTGAGGCAACTCTTGGGAGGAATCAGAAGTGTTTAGAAAAGACTACTTCACATAATATTTAATTTGATAGAAATGTCTGATTGTGGAGAGGTGGGCTTAACTGTACAACTGGTCGAGCGGTGTTCTGGGGAAAGGGCTTCTCTACTGCTATGAAATTCCTGTGCCATGATAGGCAGGTTATGAGAATGAACATTTTCAGACACGATCACCCTTTCCAAGTGGCTAAGTTGATGCTTAGGGTTCTTGTTTCAAAACTGATGATCACTCAAAACCTGCTGGCAGTTATGCTTCAAAGCACATAAGCAAATGCTGAAATACAAAATAGAAGTGCTGGACATTAAACTGTGGAGTCAAATGCATGGCTGCTTCACAGTGCTGCCTCTCCCCACTTCAGGTCCCCAGGTGTACAGGCTGATTAACAACTTACAGGCCTGCAACATTGTGAGAATGAGTAATCATTTGTCTTTCACAAAGATGACATTAAAATGAGAACAAGAGAGAAATGAGGACATTTATCCCTCATCAGGATGGGCTTTGGACTTTCAGTGAATACATAAACACTGTGAACACAGAGAAAATGCGGTAAAAAATAAAATAATGTGCAGCTACTCAGTGGGTATTCCAGCAAAAAATACTGTGATCATGTAATTAAAGCAACCTTAAAATTGAGGGTACGTAAATGTGCCTCTTTAATAATCCTTTCATACAGTGTTTTGTTGTATACATAACATGCTGTTACACCTCCAGCATCTCCCACACTCAATTCTTAAAATTTGGGAAAGACAAAAGATTCATATGAATTGATACAGATTTTTGGGGAACAAAGAACTGATATGCTGCACTTGGTTTGTATCTAATTGCTAAAACACAAGTGAAACATGCACCAGTTTTGAAAATTTTTAAGCAGCAGTTATTCTTCCCCTTGAGATTCAGTTGCAGGAAAACGGCGTAGAATTTTGGCAAGCCTCACTCATTTATTACGCTTATACAAGATCTAACACATTGAGTCTTGTCTCCAGATGTGCCTGTACTGCAAAAAAAAAAAAATCACATAATGCAGGTTCCTTGCAGAATTTAATCTCTCATTTTCTTTATTGTCCAGGCTTGTTCTGTTTACTCTTGCAGTCTCATAAATTGTGGACTTAGTTGTGTGCTGTTTTTCCCCCTTCCTGAGAAGTGCTCATAAATATTAAATATGCATGAAATTAAAGATATACTTTCAGTGTCGTCTTTAAAGAAAACCCTTCAAATGCCTCCCCCCCAAAAACAACACCACACCGTTGCTTAGGATTACCTATTTATTTATTTCATTAAAACAAACATACAATGTTTCATTGAAACTGTGTTGCACTCCCTGCCAACAACTGTAGCTAGAGTGTTGGCCTCTAACAATACAGTGGATATTTACATATGTACACGGATGTACCGTAGGATGCCTGAATTTGGTGGCCTAACGAATACGTTAGATCGTAAAAAGCTGTTAAGTTGCTGCATTCAGGGAATCGTAACATCCATGGTAAATTTTAGAGGAAAAGTATACATGAACCTGAACGATGCTTTTTATGGACCCAAGTGACTCCTGTGTTTATTGCAACATATACATTTGTAATAAATACAATCTTAGTGTTTTCTTACACACCTTAGGTGTAACACATTTCTTCCATTTTTGTAAGCATTGCATTTTGCTGTAGAAGAATCTTTCCTTTGACAGTTGTTATACAGATGTACAACATGAGCAACTCCTTGAAATGATGTAACAATCAGTAATGAGAGAGGAATATATACATAAATCCTGGATTCCAAACCTACATTATATACATTATACTTACAGTATATACACACATACAATTTATGTACATAGACTATCATAAATATTGAAAAATAGGTTTAGTTTTAATGGAGTAATGTTTTATAAATAACATGTTACATTTATGACTGAAATATCATGGAAGACAGTAACGTCTAACTGAGGTGACAAAACAGTGGTTTAATACTGAAGCTGCTCTTTTAGGTGGTTTGTAATGTAGGTAACTTTAAGCAGACAGGTTTGGAAAAAAAAATACAATTAAATAAATCATGTGTTGGAAATCAACCCAGCCAAGTGGAACTCAACTGTTGCAGGTGGAGAGCCAGTCAATCAAATAATGTAACACACAACATAAAAACTGGAAATTGCTACATTCAGAGAATTAAGTGACATGTGATATATTATGAGGTGTCATCACAGAAAACTTTCTCCTCTCTGGCTGCTGGGAAGGACTGTGTAGTAACTTCTCTTTTACACCTCCTTCCCCTCTTCTATGGCTACTGACAGAAAGGAGGCTATTTCTCGCTTTCTCTCTTTTTAAATGCTGTCAAGGGAAGCACTTCATCCCCGATGTGCTACAAATTGCTCAAAGGTAGACGACGTTTTAATCCTCTTCCACCTTTCTACGTTTGTGGAGAGGAAGAAGAAAAGCTGCCAAAGTACTGAGGAGGCACACGCTCAGCACTTCCGTGGAGACCAGGTAACGTGGGACAGATCGCCACGGATGTACAGTACCTGAGGCAGAGAAGTACCTAAGGAGCGTTCATCAGTGCTGACTCCAGGATCGTTAATTGCCAGTTGAGTACCACAGAACTAATAATACAAACAACGCAAGAGGAATCTAACTTCTCATTACAGTTTTACACTACAGGCTTAGTGACCGGTACTTACAGTCATGCAGAAGTATCAATACAAAATACCTGCAATTTTTTTCATAGATTTTAAATGGCTGGGCAGAAATTGACATTATCTGCCAAACAGTGACTGTCATTTAGATTTGTTCCTGATTAATCCTACAAGAGCAAAAAAGTCTCAGGCACTGTTTAATCAATGGATTACAGGCCCTTACTTGTTCCCTCTGACACAATGACCGAGTGGAACTTTGTAAATCAGATGTCAGATGAAGACAGTTGACCACATTGCCATGATTATTTCATTAATAATCTCTATCTAGGCTTTTGTACCCAGTATTGTTGTGTTTGAGAACCTCTTATAAGCCAAGTACGCTGTTATACACGTGTTATTTCTCTTCAACCTGGGATAAGAAGGAAAGAGTAAACATGCACTAGAAACAAAACAGCTAATCACAACCATACAGCACCTGTTTCATCAGCTAGCTCGGGCTCATAAGAAATTTACCTATTTCTGAAGCAAACAAGTATGAGATGACTATCCAGTCTATGAGGTTATCTTTAATACTACTATACAGTATAAATTGGAAGAGGAATCCCAGTTGTGTATGCGAAGAGAGTTTGTACCAAGCATGAAATACTGGTGCAGTTATTTTGTGGATCTGACTCAGAAACAGAATAGTCAAGTAATTCAAAATCCAATAATGGATGAGTAATTTGAGAAATACTGTACAGTTTTTGAATATTATACAACTAGTAAACTACATTAGGACCTTTTTGTTTTCCTACAGAGTGTTTCAAGATAGATCGGACAGAAAAAAAACCAACCCAACAAACATTGCTACAACTGAAAATGGACCTTATTGATAAAGACAACTCCAGGAGGGAGTTTTACATTAATGGCATGATACTCCGCAGCCATTCAGTTTGCATCTACAACAGAAAAAAAAAACGAAAAGGCAAAACCCCCCAAACCCTGTTTTACCCAATTGCACTATTGAGTACCTCAAGAAGGGAAATGTCAACGCCATCTTTTGATTTCTAGATTAGCTACGTTTTTCTCAAACGTACCCGTTTTAAAGGGTGGGTTTTTTAAAGCTTGAAAATTTGGGTTTCCACACCATTTTTGGGAACTAAGGCAACTGTAGTTACCTAAGTAAGCTGACAAATAATTTTCAGGATTATTTTCACTCTACTTCGAACTAAGTGAATTTAATGGGAAGCATTTATAATTAGAGAATTTTGACTTCAATTGGTTCATTTTCTATTTTGGTCATTAGAAGTATTTTTTTAAAATAATTTTCTTCTAATTATGCCTCTAGAGAAAGGCAAACTAGATTTAATTTAGGACACTGATTAAATATTTTTATGAACTCTTCTATGTTATTCTTTCATTCTTTTTAGAAAAATGTTTCTTAAAGTCAAAATAGTGCTTTTGAGGTCCATAAGAATTTTTGGTACAAAAAATAATAGCGTTTCTCTCTCTCTCATTGGTTAAACACTTTGCTGTAAATTAAAGAGTTATTTCTCACATCAAATGGTTCCATTAGGCACATTCAAGTAAAATAACAAAATATCCAAGTAACAATGACAAAAGCCAAACATGGCTTGATAAAAGTCTACGGAGAGTTCTGTCCATTCTCTGGAATGGAATAAAGTTGTCACTTCCTTCAGCCAGACACTCACGTGGTTTGATGTTAATATCCACTTCCATCATGCAGAATAGTTTCTTAAAGACCAAGTTCGGGTATTCTACAATCAGAAGAACCACCAACAAAGAATCTGCATTTTAAAGGAAGCTGAATAGCTCATTTTGATGCTCAGTAGGTATCTGAGTGAACACTGGCATTTGAAGTGGAGTATTAGAGATTAAACCAGGACAGTTAATGGCCATCTGATGCAGCATTCTGGGTCCAGTCTAGAATAATCAGTGTCATACACCCAGTCATCACAAGTATACCACTTAGAAAGAAGAACGCAGCCTGAAAAAAGAAAACATAAAAGAAATATTTCAGTTTCTACTACTACATCCGTGAAGTCATGCCCATTTATGGCACAAAGGCCATTGCTCATGGAGGACAAAGTAAAAAAGACATGAGATCACAGTAAACAATAAGGAGCTAGGTTTCTTTCTCATACTTGGGGTCCTTTTTCAAATAAAAAAGTACGTCTATTTTCAGGATAGCAGACCTCACCCTCAACTGAGGGAAATTAATGTAGCTGCTGATACCAGTCAGGCTGTGCCACTGCACTGACTTGATTCGGAGTCAGTATGTCGAAGACCAGTAAGCGCACCAAGACCAGTCAGGATGACCCAAATGATTGGTGGAGGTAAGCTTTTATGGGGTAAATTAGGTAAATAAGTCTTGAAAGAAAATTTAAAGGAGAACAATACTTTTTTAGTATAGCTTTTAAGGGTTATCTGTTGAAATCTGGTTCGTATCAGCAACAGAATGACCCAACTATTGTTGAGACTATGGACTGAGGGGTAAGAGAAGTCACTGAAGTGAACTCAGCCTTGTGATGGCTCTCTCCTCGTTAAATGACAGTTCACGGACTAGCTTCACCAGGACTTCAAAATTCTTAAGTTGTGAAGAAGTAAGCTAGAGTTCTTGCTCTGAATTAGTAAGCAAGTGTAACTACTACATAGTTTTCTATACATACCCCAATCTTTTGCACTGACTTCATTGGTTCCTTCTTCACTAATTTGATATAGAAGGCAGAAGGAAGTATAAAGATCAGCATGGCAGCTGCAGATGCACCTGTATTTAAAAAGCACAGAAATAAATATTCATAAACAGGTAAATATAGTTTAATTAGATCAGAATGGCATTTTCTGAGATTTGAAAGACTACTTGAACTGACGTGGAAATGCTTACCAATGAATCCAAAGATGTCTCGGATAGTAGGGACAAAGATAACAAGCACGTTGGTAAACGCCAGAAGAGCAACAGTAATGGAACAGTGACGCCACCATCTAAACTCCTTCCCTGCCCACAACAGCTGGGTAATGGAACTGCGGATCTTTTGAAGAGGGGGAAAACAAAAAAGACATTTTAGTCTTCATTGTGCAAGTCAGTGACCTTCACCCAAATTGGACCTTCCTTCTGAAAGTACTTTAACATCATTTTCCTGAACACTTCAGATTGTAATGGAAGTTAAAAGACATGAAAACAATTATTATTTTTTTAAAAATATTTACTTCCTGCACTTGAGAGGCAGCACTGTGTCTGTCTTTGGTCTGTTTTTCTCTTTCAAAGCAAACCCAGTAACAAAGAAAACACAAGGAAAAACATCTCTCTTTAACAAAAATAAATCCCAGGGACTTTTGTAACATCTAAGGATGTTGCTCAACAACATTCATCTAAATGGCTAGAATTCATGTTCACAATGTACTTACAAAAACACACTGACTTTTGTAAACTGATAATACAACGGTTCAAGTACTTTTATAGAGGAGTAATCTGTTTGACTCCCCCAATTAAACCATACCAGGAAAACAATATAACTCAATGTATTTGTATGCACTGCTCTGTAAATGTTGCCTAATTATTTAATGTATTTGAATTAACAGTATAGAGCTATTTCATCAAGCTTATTAGAATAAATTTCCCTTTGAATTAAGAGAAAAATTCTGTAAGTGGGAATTGCCAAATCAATAAATGACTTCAGCAGG